AATACAAGCCAGAATTTTGTTAATTACAACTATTGGCCAATCAAAATCAAGAATTAATTGCAGCATCTAGATTTAATAAATCTTACACAGGATATATATTATATATAAAATCTATGCATAATATACAAGATTTTTAAAAAAACTATGATTTGCCTATCTCTACTTACAGATTACCAGTTTTCTAGTAATTGTATTTAAGCAGATCTTTTTTTAAATTGATTCTAGTAATCTGGTTAGTGAAGCACCTTTCCAAATATCTAGTTTATCTAGTTATACTAGTCTCAGATATATTCTATCTTGGTAGTACTGTTAAAAGCTTGTGCTATTTTTTTTTCAGATCGATATTGATAGTCTAGTTGGTGGAGCATCTTTTCAAATATCTAGTTCATCTAGTTATATTAGCTTTAGGTATATTCTATCTTGGTAGTACTGTTGAAAACTTGTGCTATCTCTCTTTTCAGAACTTCTTAAGCAGATATCTTTCACTTTGGTTTTATAGTTTTATATGGCATCTAGGACTTATAATGGGTTTGCACTAACTAATACTGGCTTGCATGACTTTATATAACTTATAAATTACACAAATATCTATCTGTTTCCAGGTATTTAGGGAAGGGCCAGAAGATATGTGTTTTTTTTGGGAGAGAGGGTCTTTTTAAAAAACACGTCTATATATAGAAAATCTAGAAGATAAGAAACCTAGAGAGGAGGGGTAATTTTGTCAAAATAAAAAACACATGTTTTTTGGCCCTCCCCTTTAGTAATATTTGGTACAACCTTAGTTACAGATTAGCAATTCAACTCATTGTGACAGTAACTGTAATATATATAACAGAATATTAGATTTTGTTACTAGTGAGATTTGAACCCTAGACATGCTGCTTGGGGGTGCAACAACTTTATCACTTCATTAAGTTGCTATACTCTTATTATACAAATTTGCTTAAATAATATAATACAATTAAATAAATTTATTAACATATGTTAAAAATAAGAGTTAAAAGGTATGCAATTAAAAAATTAAACCTATACCTTATAAATCTCTCATAGACTAGTTATTAGAGTATACAACAGTATATTAAAATTATATAGGAAGGGTTACTAATGATTATTACTAATTGCAATTTTCTAATAGTAATTTTTAATACTCAAAATCCTGAAAATAAAGTACTGATAATATTAAAATTTGCTTTCAAATTTTGGATATTGGGATTCTAAATATTGGGATTCAAATATAAACAGATAATTTTATGTTGAAAAGCCTAATATAATTGATATTGTAAATTGGACTTATATAATTATTGCTATAAATTTTACCAAAATAAATTTGCATTTATTGAACTATATAATTAATTAAACAATATACAATTTTTTTTAAATAAAGCAATAAACTAGCTTTATACTAAAATAAAGCTATTTTTTTTAATTTTTTTTTAAAAGTAAAGAATATTAATAATTAAAACTAAGAATATTAATCATCAGTGTTCTAAATATTTTTATAAAAATATTAAAAAAAAATGGCTCTATTTCAGTATAGAGCTAGCCTTGAGATTCAATTTAAAAAAAAATAGCAGTCTATTTAGTTAATAATTTATTTCAATTAGGGTAGCTGCGCGACGTAGTCGCGCTCAAACCAGAAACGTAATATAAGTAGTAGATATATAATGGCAATTCGAGTTTAGTAAAGAACTTTTTCAATAATTATAAGAACATGAATAATTGCCTTATATATTTCATTTCAAGTACTGTTTATCTTTAAATTTGCAATATACCTATGAGCTAAAACATGATTTTAGAGTTTATCTAAACTACAAATCAAAATTTTGGTTATTAATATGCAATATTTTAATATTACTACGTATATATATATAAGTTATGCATTACTTATAAGAATTTTTCTGATAGTTACAGGCATTTCGAGTAGTGGTAAACGATTCGGGAATCTCATATATAAATTATTAGTTGTGTAATAGTAGAAACTTATGCAATTAGAACGACTTTTTTATTAAGATTTCTGTAAAACATAAAGTTGGCCACTTATTAGATCATATGTAGGATATAGAGCAAATTACTTGCAAGCTATCAGGCTATTTATCAAATTTGTCTGGCATTAGAGTGATATAAGTAGAAAGTAAATGAACTTAGACCTTGAGCAAGAATAAGTCTCGAATTCCAAAGCATTATGTTAGTTGTGTCAGCATCAAAACGAAGCAGCATGTATCATTTCTGTTAATTCGTATTAATAAATATTTAATAAAGAATATTCAGTAAATGAAGCGTCAAGCAGAAGTTACTATAGTATCGGAAAATTTTGAAATAGAGATATTATCAAACAATTGCCCACCGCCTATAATTGAATGCATTAACACATAGTTCCACAAGCTCACGACTTTCATGAAAATTACTTCCGATTGAACAATTTTATAGTTCTACCTATAAAAAACTGACCAAATTAATTGATGCAAAAAAAAATTCAATCATTCCTATTGTCATAAAAAGAATTCCACTAGGGTTATACACAAATAAATAAATGCACAAGAAAAATTCATCAAACATTGGTAAAATCACTCAAAGTGTAATAGAAGCAGTATTTATCATATTTAAACCCGTACCTATTACAACATACGACCTATAAACAAAACTTAGATTTCAAAGGTTAAACTCAAAAATATAATATACAAATTCAATTATTTAAAATTAGTTCTTTTATTTTAATAGAGTCCACACCTATTTAGTTTGAACAATTAACAATGAGCGTTAGAATGCAATGGTCTAATAAAATTATTATAATACCCTTAATTAACATTATAATTTAGCGTCATCTGACAAACAGCCGCGTATCTCGCCCCATAGCTAAGTGTGCCAGTTCTGAGAGTTTTCCTACATAGTAGACGTCATTCCCTCTCTAAAACCATTATTGATATCTGTGTCGAATTTTCATTAACAAAACTTCGAATTGTTCAAATATACTTCAAGGCATATATACAAGTTATCCGGGCAATCGACCTTCAAAGGCCAATCAGAAAAACCCACCATATGAGTACAACACACCCATTCATGCATATATATTTTATATATACATATATATACACGTTCTATAATAGTTTCATATGTCCGACTTCCATCCAATCATAACCCGGAATTTGTTCACTAACCATTCTAGTTGTCGGTTAACCATACACTCCGTAATTTCATTACTACGTTCCTGGTACGTACGTATAAATCTAATTTTTGTTTTAAGAAGATTGATACGTGTGCATCGACTCCCGCAATTAGTGATGATCATTAATGATCTTGCCTATAGGCCGTTGCACACTCTAACTTCTCACAGACTTAAATGGAAGTCTTGAGAATTTTCTAATCATACAAAAAAAGGGTGATCTGCAACATCCAAATTTGTTAATATCCGAGACTGTATTATTTATTGTCGGGGATGATGCTGAAATCGGATTATGCTGAAATTTGGAGTCTTAATTTGAAAATATAAACCCTACTAAAATCCACCTATACTCTTGTATTATAAACACTAACCCTAAATTCTAATCGAAACACCCCAAAAAATTTTAACTTTTCATAATAAAATAAGTCAAAATTTCAGCATCGTCCGATTTCAGCATCATCCCCGACATTTATTATTGAGGATTTTTATCGGTTATTTTAATAATTTCGGAAATTTCGGAAAATTAACTATACAGATTGTTTTTCTTTATTAGTGCAACATACTGTAAAAACAACTACTAAAGGTACATTTTTTTGAGCGAAGAATATTGTTTTTTTATGTTAAATTTTTTTTTTAATCGATAGCTTTTATTATGCTCTTTTCAACAATAGATTCGGTTTTACAATTTTCATTAGCTTTATATTTGTAAACTCAGATAAAGTTTATTTACACTGTTAAAGAATTACCACTTATAAAATAGTATAAATCGAAAAAATGGCTCTATTACATTAAAGTATACAAATTGCTCTATCTTTTAAAAAAATTAGACTATTAATTATTATACTAGTTCGAGAGAAAAGCGTACGAAAGTTGATATTATCCGCAGTAAATTCGGATTTTCATGAAAAATATTAGTGTTTGATTTTACTAGTGTTTGATGATCACCCTACCTCTGCCGCGGGTTTCACCCTTTCATATATTTATAGCCAAAACCATATTTATGCATATAATATGAGTCAATATGTAGTTTCTATATAGATTCTGTTCATTAAAATATTTTTCTGTAATAAAATTGCTCTGTATTCTTTTTTGGTAACTTCGGCCAGTTGCTATTTTAAATCTTCCTATGTACTGTGCGTATCAGACTTTTGGAAAAATGGTTCTTAAAAGTAGGTTTGCTTAGTTTAAAATAAAACATTTGAATTAAAAACAATACATTGACAGGCTGGTTTATTTATTAGTATCTTAATAGAAACGAACATCTAATTAGGTGTATTTGGAAAGGAAGAACAGAAACTTCACTTCCTATGCTTTTTGGAAAATTACGAACCGTATAGACATTAGAAATAAGGAATCTGCAGCTATATCAGGAATCTGTTCTCGTCCCGATCTTCTTTTAAACTATGCCTTTATTTTATAATGGATTACAAAATTGTGGAAAGCACACGTTTACAAGTAGTTTTATGAATTATTGAAAAATGGGGTTTATGCTTGTTCACATGTATAATAAGATAATGCTGCTGCTTATAATTAACAATAAATGTCGCGGATTATAATGAAAATCGGATTAAAATGAAATGAGGGGTTTCTATTTGTCACCCTAAAATCCACTTATACTTGCTTATTATAAAACCTTCCTATATAAAGACTTCACCAAAACCTTTATTATGATCAAAATGAAGTAATTGTAAGTAAAAGTTATTTACAGCAACAAAAACGACAAAAATCTTTGGGAACAAAATTGTAATAAGATATAAAATATCTATAACAAAGTAAAAACAAAATGAACGCATATCGTTAAAATTCACAATTTTCTAAAAATTTTAAACATATACTATACTCATACACCTCTAGAATTACTAGAACTAGTACTATTCTGTCTGGTTAGTCCGCCAAAAGAAACCATAGGAACATTTTCAATTTTTGGACCAATGTCACCAGTATCCTTAATACCACGTTTTAGGATAAGCTTATCATAAAGTTCGATATTTAAGTGCATACTAGATTGATGAGCTTCCAATAATTTTTGTTTGAAATCATCGTCAGTCGGAACACCTGTAGGTGTACTTGGTTCAGGTTCAGTATCTTTGGCTACTTTGTAAAATGAATCGAGGAGAATGGCACAATCGTCTAAGTTTTCGCGTGGTTCCCAGCTGGTCCATTTTTTATATTAGAATTTTAAATTAGAATTATTGTGATTACTTAAAAAAAAGGAGTTCTAACAAAAATGAAACTCACGTTGGTTTCGAATATCCTTTCCATTGAATCAAGAATTTTTCTTTGCCCTGTAAACAATAAAATTTTTCATAAACAAACAAGTTCACTGATAATATTGATAATGCGTATTAAAAAAAAAAACGTACATTCTCAACTTTACGTGAGATCACACTTTCAACTTCATATCTTTCTGGTTCATCAAATTCACTATCACTTTTATCTTCACCGTCTTCTTCCTCTTCAACATCATCCCATGACATTTCATCTTTTGTATTGTCTTCATCTTCCCATACGGTGCCGGAATGGGAATGACGGTTTCCTAATTAAAATACAAGTAATCATGATTAGTTGCAATTGATCACAATTTCCTCATCTCCCGTCTTTTAAAATGAAGTATGATACTAGTAATTGCGATTTAAATTTTGTCTTTTTTACAAAATCATTATCAGATAAGATCAATAATTTAAATGTATTAACCCTTTCCATGACTACTTCCGTCATCATAACTCATTTTTTTTAGTGATCTAATCGATAATCTAATTGATCGATTTAAAAAAAAAAATTTTTTTACATTATCTAACGTTAACGATAAACAATTTTAAAATTTTTGAAAATAAATAATAGACTAAAAAAGGCTACCACTACGTGTTAATTTTATAAACTTGCAGTTGCATGTGCCAGTAATACAAACTCCTAAAAAGGAAATAGCAAATCAGAGTGCACACAACATAGAATTCCGAACACGTGCAAAGGAAATACTGTACTGCGCTTTTGCCTTTAAATTTTTTTTATACCGTATAGATTTATTATTACAACCATATTTAATATTTATGTTTCGTACAAACTAAGAATCTTTAAATAAAATTATATTTAATATTTATGTTTCGTACAAACTAAGAATCTTTAAATAAAATTATATTTCATTTCCATTGTTTTTTTAACAACTTCGGGGTAAAAAAATGTGATTAATTTTATTCATAAACATGTATCGTCAGAAATAGACAAATTTGATAATTTATCTGTTATTTCTTGCGTGTTGATGAGTTTACTGGTGTACATGTTATTTGGATGTTTAGTTGATTCAATGTTAAGTTTAATTTTATCGGCTTCCAAGTATTGTTTTTTGATTTCGTTATCATCCTTTTGATTCATCTC